CGCATTTTAATCGATGCAATACTTGTGAAACTAACGTAATTTTAAGAAAGTTCATTTTTTTTGCACACCACTGTATACCGTGTCTGACATAAAACGATAAATGTGAACACGTGAACTGCAGATCCAAATATATTACTGTATTGGGATACCAAATACGTGAAGCCTTTCTTTGTTGACTTGCAGCTATCCTATAAAACGCAAAGTGACTGTATTGTTAGGTGAAAATGGCCAACTCAAGATCCATCGTTGAATTGATTGCTGTAATGTTTGTATTGTTTACTCATATAGCTTAGCTAAACTCAGAAATACCCGACAATATTGAAATACTATCCAAGAATCATTATGGCTATCAATGATGTCAGGTACGTTCCCATCACACCACTAATCATCAACTGTCATCGTATTTAGAGCGACTTCCATCCCCACAAAACCAAAACACTTACCACCGCACGTCAAGAAAACTTTCCCCCACGTCAAAAAAACTTTCCACCGCACGTCAAAAAAACTTTCCACCGCACGTCAAAAAAACTTTCCCCCACGTCAAAAAAACTTTCCACCGCACGTCAAAAAAACTTTCCCCCACGTCAAAAAAACTTTCACATATTAAAATTGCAATGTCTTTCAGGAACGTCGCCCGCCGCCTATATACTACGTCAGCAAAGCCGTCTGAAACGCTCTCGTGGGCTGGTGAGTGAAGTATTGTGTCTCTTTCTCATATTGTAGACACTAGAACCAAACTATATTCCATTTCAGATATCGGAAATATTTGGGACATAATTAAGGGCAAGGGCGTCATAACAACAGCGGTGGCTTGCTGTGGGGCAGTCTGCGGCGGGGTCAATTACATCATGAATGCAAAAATCGAACGTGTCGAGGCGAGAATAGACGGGATAGAGAAAGGGATAGAGAAAAGAATAGACTGGATAGAGAAAAGAATAGACGGGGTAGAGAAAAAAGTGGACGAGCTACGGTGGTATATACAGACAAATGCGGAAACGTAAGAATCCAACATTCTGTTTATTTCCTTTTTAGTTAAAATGCATGAAGCACTAATCCAAAATTATCATGTGAAAAAATAGGGATAGACGTAGAAGGGAAGAAAAAGAGAAGCGCAACGGTCATAATGGGACTAACAGCAATAACCGAGTAAGGCAAATTACAGTCGAACTTCGTTATAATTATTTTTTACTTTTTTCGGCATACAATTTATATTCTATTTCTCGCAAATATGACATTGATGACAGCAGGCATCGTAGTTCTCACTGAAATGAGTGATCCGGCTGACCGTTAACTATTCTTTGACTTAAAGAAGCCTCTTTTTGACAAACCTGGCAGATAGCCAATAACTTTTTAACGTAATCGGAAATTGCTAAAAGAGTGTGTCGGGGGAGATATCCCCGTCGGTATAATGAGATACCTCTAGATAACCTACGGTCAAAGCATTGTTCGGTATAATGAGGCTTATGTGAACAACATCTCTATTTCAATAATACATGAATATAATAAAACTGTCATGTTAATCAGTAACAAATAAGTCTATTTTGCTTGCAATAACTATGCAATTTCACCTTTCTCTTCAACGCACGAAAGGCCTTAAATCCATCAAGGTCGTACGATTGAAATCTCGCTGATGTCGATCTGGAGGGATTGGTTAAATTATTGAATTGCTGTCAAACTCTATCAAAAAGCTGCTGATCAAGGCATCAATCTATTGTCCGAGGCGACATTTTTAATACGCACCTTGCCAATCTTACGGTGGTCCCTCTTCTCAGGGACAACTAACATGTCGAAGTTCGTGAAAACCTTATAACTTGAAATCATATGACCAAAACCAGTTGACCTTCACATGTTACAGCCAATCACTATTCTACAATTCTGTCATGTGATAAAACTTCGGTATAAAGTATATTAATATATTAATATTATCATAATATTAATATGTAACTCCTGCATCGAATTTCGGTAACGGTATAAAGAGATTTTACTATTAAATTCGTTATAAGGAGGGAATTTTACTATTTGGAAAACGGGGGAGCCAGAATTCCATCGGTATAGCGAAAATTCAATATAGGTTCGGTATAACGAGGTTTGATTGTATAGGAATTAATTTCAGCAGCACTATCTCCTAATCCGTCTAGCGGGCAAATTTGCCCGCTTAAATTAATTTTGACCAGTTTTTGCGTATTTGCTCGTGATTTGTCTAATCAACCCCCCCCTTTTATGAGGTGTAGCACATTGCTGATTACCTCCTCGAGCGATAACCCAAGTTTTATCCTCTTACTCTTGAAACTACAAACAATATACTGATAAGGATGAACCTCTGTTAACATCTCGTCATTCCATAGACAATCTAGAATCAGACATTGCGGAGGATAAAGAGGACACCAGCATGCGATGTACCTCTTGGCTGCAATAGCAATCTAACTGTTTGTTCATTTCCACAATGAAGAATGATGATAAATAAACAATACATGTTAATTTTTTGTGGGTAACATCGCAAAGTTAATTTCGTAAATTATTTCAATGTACTAATTTTAATAACGTAAAATCTTATTATAAATATGTACCCATGCTATGTTATATAGTACATTTCTTTCGTCCAGTTATATGAATTGCTTGAGCATATTTGGCATTCAGAATACCGCGCGGCTGGAAATTAAGCCATTTGTTTGGGTCGTATGACATACCCAGTGTGTGGCTTTATAGTCTGACTTTTCAGGAGTTGCTCCAGTCATTTTAAGCCAGCGTAGTACAAAAAATTGCCCCCGTGCTCAATTTTTTCCAAAAATTTAGGCGGGCAAATTTGCCCGCTTAAGCGGACGTTTTAAGAGACAATGACAATAAAATTTCTTTATAATAAACTCATTTTACTTTTTCGTTGATAAGGCTAATCGTTAACTATGACGTAAATAATGACGATGTCCAAAACCCAAAATGATTATCTTACTCTCTTGGACACCTGTGGATGCAGAGTTCAAGCACAAACTTGTTTCATTATTATTCTATAAAGAAAAAGCGACAACGGTGTCGACCTTATCAAAAAGTTTATTTTTCATCAATTCTAAATGGTTACTTCAATTGAAACTCCAGGTCTATACTTACTGAGTAAAAATATAAGCGTACCAATTAGATTCAGTAAAGTAGGCGTTACGTCTTATTCGTCTATTCATCGTCTGGCGTTATTATTATGTCCGAAAATAGCCTGTATCTTTATTTGGCTTCACATTTACAGTTATTATCCATGAAAAGTATTGGTAATAATAAACTGAGTTATAATTGCATTTTTCATTTCGTCAAATCATATTTTCGCGAATACCTAATCCCAAGCCACAGTCAGTCCTAATTAAAATTGACAAGGCAAAGGATGCCCTCAAAAGGCAGAAGATAAACTTACTGAGACACTGAACATCAAGTCTGGTGAACGATGGATCGAACAAGGTGAACAGTCCTCAAAGTACTTCTACAGGAGATATAAAGAATGACTACAAACTGCACACATCCCAGCCCTGGATGATGGCAAAGGAAACTTAGCCATCACAGCAAAGGATAAAGTGGAAGTGTGTCAAAAACACCTACAGGAATTATGGAACAACAAATCAACAAATAATCCACAAATATTCCCATGGCACTGCCCCACAATTACCCAGGAGCAAGCCATATACCTTGCCAGCCCAATAACAATGCAAGAGGTAATGGACTCCATTAGATCATCTCCAAGGGGAAAAGCACCTGACCCTGATGGCCTACCCTCAGAGTTCTATCACATAATGAAAATGAAAATAGTCCTCCACCTCACAAACATGTTCAATGAAATACTAAGTGGAAGCAATCCTCCCCATACATGGAGTGAAGCACACATAGTACAAATTCCAAAGAAGACTGAGAATATTGATCAAGTTGGCAATTGGCATCCCATCATGCTGGAGAACTGTGACCTCAAAATCTTTAGCAGGGTGTTGTCCAATCACTTCCAAGAAGTACTTGACACCATCATCCACGAATCACAGACAGGCTTTGTCAGAGGATGGCGACTCTTTGAGTCAGCACTGACTATAGATAGCATACTCCAGGTGCAAGATAGCAACGGGTACATGCTGTGACCAGTCCAAGGCATATGACAGAGTCAACTTCAGATGGCTTTCTTATGCACTGGATAAGTTCAGCTTTCCAAGATCTATCATACAAATGTAAATGATCAAACAACTCTTCTATCAAAGAATTGCAAAGCTAACAGTGGATAACAAAGAGGCACAAATTGAAATCAAACAAGGAGTTCCTCAAGGTGATCCCATTGCACCTCTACTATTTATCATAGCACTAGAACCTTTAATGGCAGCAGCTAGAGTGGAAATAGAGGGGTCACCAACAGTAATGGCACAGTACATAACGTGGCCTATGCAAATGACATGACCTTCTTCATCCATGGCTACAACCAAGTGCAAAAATTAGAGAAACTCCTAATCACATACTCTAAAGTATCAGGAGCAGTGGTAAATTAGGAGAAATCCAAACTCACACCCCTCTCATCTGCCAAAAAACCCTCCTCTATTGAAATAATTGGCATTAGACAACAATTGCTGAAACGACTCACAGAGTGAGGAGACTTTGCCTCTGATTTATTTGAGTACCAAGTGCTCGCATTCTCAGGCGTCATTCACGTTTTTCTTTTCCCAATAATTCGAATGCCAATACAAGTTATAATACTGAAATATGTTGAGGAATTTATGTAACGAACGACATATGGGGCAGACTGCAACAAAACCAGACAAAGTGAACATTCTGAAATAAGAGGCTTGTGTGGCTGAAAGTTAAC